GCGTCGACGGTGTTCCTGTGTCGGCCCAAGCGGCGGTGGGGGCTACAGCCCTCCGCACGCGCTTCAACCGAGGATCTCAAACCGCGGCGCACCCGGATCGTCTGGAGGCTTGTCGGACAGGTGGCACAGCAGCGCGGAGATGGTGCTGCTGTCCAGCAGGCCAGACAGGGCGGCGTCCGTGGAGCCCGGATGCGGGGTGGGCATGGACGTCTGCAGCTGCAATGCATGGATGGCACGGTTTGAGGCCGGGGTTGGCATGCACGCCAGGGGCAAAAGGAGCACGGCGGCCAGCCAATGAGGGGCAAGGCCGCGCCCGCCGTTGCGCACGCAACGGCGCCGGCATCCCCGACGAGCTCGCACCGCCCAACTCCTGGCCACCCCACTCACCGACGAGGGCAGTGCTCCGCCGTCGGCGTGCATGGCGCCGTACTCCCCCCGACCACCCACTCGCCCATACGGTGATGGCGCCCTCTGCCCCGGCCCCTCCGCCGGGATCGGCGCCCTGGCCCAGGCGTGCTGCTGCCCCTGCTGCACCGCCCCGTACTGGGCCGCGGGGGCCAGGCAGGTCTGGAAGCGCTCCGCCGCGCCCCAGCTCTGGGCGCCGGGCAGGGTCGACCCGCTGCCGCCGCTGCCGCCGCTGGCACGCGGCCCTGGGCGCTGGTATGTAGCCGCCAGGGCGGTGGAGTGCAGGGTGGGGGCGCCCGGCTCCAGCTTCATCACCGCGCCCTGTCCGGGCGTGGGGACCGGGTAGCTAGACGCCGTGGGGCCAGGTGACTGGTACCCATCCCCCAGGACCATGCCATAGAGCTGCACGATGCAGCGCTTGGCCACGGCCAGCTCCTGCGAATGTGTGACGTTGGTGTGTGTGGGGGGGGGGGTGAGGGGTGTGCGCCCATCCCTCAAACCTTGCGTCCCTGCACTGAAACGTGCGGGAGGGACCCTGCAGCGTGCCTGCAACCCCGATCAACCCCGGTCCCTGCAGCTGGGCAGGGTCGGCCATGGCCCGATGGGTCTGTGCCACACCGCCTCAGGCGCCCGCATGGGCTCACAGACGTCGCATGGCAGCAGCCTCCATCCAGCGCCCTGCCTCCAACCACCCCCTTCTCCCCTTTTCCCCCGCCTCGCGCACCTCCTTCACGTCCAGCAGCTCCAGCGCCAGCATGTTGACGTCCTGCGGGCCGTGGCCGGGCCGCAGCGGGCGCTGGCCGTGGGTGAGGGGGCCGCCACCCAGCTCGAACGCCTGGCCGTACGCCACCGCGCCGGGCGGGGTGCGGGTGGCCGCCTGCCCGGAGAGCGTGCGCAGCAGGCGGGGCGGGAGCCCGGGGCCCGGGCCCGACGACGGGCCCACGCCATCCCCGCCGCGGGAGCCCGGGGAGTGGGTGCGGGGGGGCTGGAAGGCGCCCAGCCCCGCGTCCAGCACTGGAGGGGTGGGGGTGGGGGTCTTGCTCGACACGTCGCCCCCAAACCTGTCCTGCTGGGGTTGGGAGTGGGGGACACAGGTCACCGTTCCGGGTCTGAGCTCTATCCGACATGGGCCACGCCGGCACCGAGGGCGCCATCTGTGCCACCCACCGCGCCCTCACCAGCGGTGTGCCGGTCCGGGTGCAGTGCCGCTTGGTGTCCGGCGCCTTTTGCTCCTCGTCCTCCTGCAGGGGAGTAGGGTGTGTCGCTGTCCTGGGATGGTGGCGTCGCACTGCAAGCCGTTCCACCCCCCGGGCCGCCAGGCAGGGGCGCTGGGCATCCAGGTGGGCGCCTCGCCGCCCTCCTCGACCTCGTCTCCCGCTCCCGCAACCCCACCTGGAACATGAACATGTACTTTGATGCCGAGGCCTCGATGGTGCGGGGTCCGTGGAAAAGGGGGGGTTGGACCCTGCAGATGGGGCGACGTGGTACTGGAGACGGGGGGCATGCCCAGACAGCTAGCAGGACGGATGCTCAGAGCGCGCAGCCGCCTGATCCCCTGCCCTGCTGCCCGCCGGTGACTCACGATTCCTTGGCTAGCTCAGCATCCAGCTCCTCCATGAAGTCGTCGGGGGGTGGTCGAAGCAGGGGGAAGTAAGTAGACTGCTTCATGGCCCTGCAGCGGCGGTGGGAGGGGGGTGTTGTTTGAGGACATGCCTGGAGCAGGACCCGCCGCACGCCGGCACCATATGCCCACACCACACGTGCGCATGCAGTGTGTCCAGAAGGGATTGGGGTTGGGGGCGGGATTGGGCAGCGCGAGCCCCGCCGTAAGCGCTCCAACCCCATGCCACACCTGTGCAAGGCCTTGAAAAGACCCAAGGACCGCAGCATGCTCTTCTGACTCAGGGCATTGTACACGATGGGTATCAGGACGACTCGCAGGTGACCCTGCATGGGGGTTGGGGGGGGGGGTGTACACCAGTGTGAGTCACACAGGCGAGCCTTGCAGTGACGATGTCATGGCGCTGCCAGGGCTCCGGCAAACGCGCGATTCGCCAGCTGGAAGCGTGACGCAACCATGGTCATGTGCATCTGGCTCTCAACAGCAAGTGCCATCCATTCCCTATCCAATCATGTACCAGCTCAATACACATGCGATAAGCACATGAGGTCTCCATCTTCCTACAGATGCCCAGGGAAACCCTCACATGCTGCCACTCTACCACCAAAGTCCCCATTACTGGCAAGATGACAGCTCAAAACGCACCTGGGGGGTGTTCTCTTCACCAAGCTCCTTGCGAACCACAACTTTGACATTGTGAGGGGACTCAAAGGCCCACTGCCAATACAACTGACCGTCCTTCTCCGCCAGTGGACTTTCTGGGGGAACTGGACGACCGGGCGGCACACATCTCAGTGATAGGGAAAGGGCTGGTACCTGGGATCCAAGCCTGCCCAACACCCTCCCTGCTCACAAGTAACGACACGGTGCTTCAGGGAAGCCAGCTTGCGGGAGTAATTCGCCTCCAGCAGGGCCTTCATGTAGATGAGTGGCATGAGCACATCCCCCGTCTCTGGATCCTCCAGCAGCAGGTACCTGTCGGACCCAGTAGCAAGGGATGTGTGGCATCTGGTGACAGTCCCGGGATAGCTACGGCGTGCTGTGTCCGGCGAAGCCTGGAGCTCACCTTTCCGAGTCCGAGACGTGCAGCCATAGGGGGATAACAACATCCAAGCGAATGTTGGCAGGGTTTCCCGAAGTCGAGCCCTCCATGACGGGCTTACGCGACATGGGACAGGAGGTCGCACCGCCTGCATTGGAGGGTGTGACAGCACAACGCTGACCCGGGAGGGGGTATCGCCTGGAAGCCAGCATTACCCCTTGTCATACTGAGAGAGTCCACCTTACGCGCGGGCAAAACTGGAGTGCCCCATTTCATCCATCCAAAGGACTTACAATGGATGGAGTAACCTAATTCATGGCTTTGCCCTTCTATACACGACTGTTGGTGACCCTTTCAGCGGCTCGCTAGGTCCACGCAAATTGCCGCGGCAAGCGGACCAGATGACGCCGCAGCGCACCCAATTGCACAGTTTCTCTTGCCCGGTACCTTGTAATGCCGGTACGTTACGGATAAGCCTCTATTGTGCCAGGCACTCATACAGACAGAGCATTCAGGGAGTGATGAAGTCTCAGATACGGGCTCACCGCTCCTTCCGAACTTTCTTGCATACTGAATTACGTTAGGCACGCGCAACAATCGCCATCAGCGAGCATGTGCTCTGTATGGGCCCTCCAGCACATGGAATTCGACCATTGTGTCTCGAGAATGAGATGGTAGATGGGCAGTCGTGGCTTCCGAAAGTAATGCCGGGAGTGCGCCTGTGCCGGGTGACCGTTCACACGCGCCTCCATCACTTGAATGAAACGATAGTGCCTGTTCAAGGATCGACGCACAGACAGGAAGTACGCCGGAGAACCGGCATCCGCGCTTCTGACAAAAGAGGACAGAACAAGGCGTCCGAAACGCGCCCGTCAATTGTTTCCTCTGTGTGGTCTCATGTCGTACGTCGTGCATGGCCCAACCATCCAGACTTGTACGTCTAGTACGCCTTGCTCGGAGAACACTGTTGGAGCGGAAGAACACCCTGACCTTGAATATTTGTATTCACATCAGGCTCAAGCCTCTACTTGAACGGATGAACAAGGGCCGTCCCAGACCACTTGTTAGAGAGTGAACGGTGAGGGCAGCTAATAAAGCAGCCCTGAGTGTCTCCTCCACAGGGTAAGAATCGTCTAGTGAGTAGGAGTTTATAATACGTGGATGATCATATCGATAAGCGAGGGTCGTGGGCTAAATTTGCAGAATTCGCTTCGCGCGTCAAGGGTACCGGAGGGGCCGCATTGGAAGCAAGTATGCCCACCACATGCTTTGTGGCACATCACAGAAAACCTGGGGATTAATACCAATGAAATTGCGGGTGCTGTGCAATAATGTTATGGTTGCATCCGCCATCGGCTCCATCTGGAAACAGGTTGCGAACGTCCTCGCAGGCCGAAGGACCATACCCTGAGCGCGCCGAACGCCATCTCATACACATGTAAATTTGCTTCAGCGGGTGTTCACATGTAGTTTGTGACGTCGTCATACTGCTCTGAGTGTCACGGACATGTGATCATGACCCTGAAGGACAAGGGGAACAGCTTCTACCAGTCCGGCCAGTGGTCCGAGGCTGAGCGTTTTTACACTGCCGGACTTCGAGAACATGGACTTAGCCCGGAGGCGAAGGTCGTCCTTCTCTGCAACCGGTTCGTAGCGGGTACCTGCCCTGCTCACCGGGGTGCAACACATGCTCTCCTGCCATCCTGGGCCCAACGCTCGCCCACCTCCCAGGATTCTCGTCCCTCTCAGGTCTGCGACGCTGCTGAAGCTCGGACGAGCTGAGGACGCCCTGCAAGATGCCAGACAAGCCTTGAACCTACTACCCAGGTGGGTTGTCCCCTTTTCTCAACGGCAGTCCGAAGGCTGAAAATGAAGCGCCGTCAGCTTCAGACCCACATACCTTCCTGCTTGCACAGGCAAGCCCTGTGCAGCAATCCCCAGTCCATCTGCGCTGCCCCCGCATCCATCCACTGTTCCTCAGGGGCCATGCCAAGTCCAGCTTCCGTGCTGCCCAAGCGCTGGAAGCCATGCAGGACCCACGAGCGGCTGTGGTGTCCCTGAGGGAATGCCTGTCCAGACAGCCTGGCAGCAAACCCGCCAAGGCACTGCTACGACAACTGCAAGCCCAGCTGTCAGTGCAATGCCAGGCACCTGGCGCCGACGTGCTTCGGAGGGCTGCCTGCGTCACCCCCCCAACAGGATGGGACTGGCGCTACACGCCCTCACAGGACGGCTGTTCCCAGAATCTCACGCTCATGCTGCATGGGCTGGGCGACAGCCCAGAGCCCTATGCGTCACTGGCCCAGAGCCTGAAGATCCCCCAGGTGCAGCTCTGGATCATTGCTCAAGGGGAGAGGTTACTTAAAGCTGACAAGGCAGTCAATCTGGGAGGAGCATGGTGGCCAACTGCTTCTTAGCCGAGTAGTCAACGTGCAGGGGTGCGCTGGTTGAAGGAAGCGGCACCGACCTGGGACCGGGATCTCCGCTTGCAACCCCATCTGCACTCTGCATTCCCAGACAGACTTCTTGGCCATCAGGGGACCACTCGCTGTCCCTTTCACGGAGAACGGACGGTGCTGGTATGATGCATTCGACGCCGACTTCGAGATCTTGACGGTGAATTGAGGGAGGGGAGATGGTGAGCCTGTACGGCAGTTTGGACACCGAGATTGAACATGCAGCCTGGCCCTTCAGAGTCCAAGTTCGTGCCCTGCTGATCCCTCCTCTGCAGGCCAGCAGCGCAGGGAAGCAGCGGATTGCTGGCCTGGAGTCTGTGTGCACCTCCCTCCGAGCGCTGATTGTTCAGCACCTGTTTGAGAAAGGTGCTTGGCACCCCAGCCAATGCCACGTGCTCGGCTTTTCTCAGGGTGGCACAGTGGCCCTGGAGCTGACGAGATTCCTTGAGCCGGGGCTCGGTCTAGGGAGCTGTGTTGCGGTTTCGGCTGGCCTCCTTCCGGAGTGGCTGCATGCCCACAGCAAATCCACAGAAGTGCCCAGGGTGGGTCAAATGTTCTGCCGGCAGGCCCGACCAGGCCGTCTAGCTGCAGCTTGGGGCGGTATTTCCCTATCCATTGCAAGCATGCTGGCATGCCTGGGCTTCCTTGTACTTGCCATGTGTTGCTCGGACTTCTCCACCTCCTCGGGCCATCCTCTTTCAGATGTCAACCCACCCCGCCCTTGCACAGGAGCGATCAGAGCAGGGGGAAGGCGTGTCGAGGGTGATGCTTACCTACGATCCCTGTGACCATGTTGTGCCGGAGAGGGAGGTGCTGGCCACAAAGGCCTACCTGGAATCAAGACCTGGACGGTATGAGGTCCAGGCGCGTCCTTTTTCCGGCCGCGGACACAAGTTCTGGGCGAGCAGGGAGGAGGGCCTGGCCATCGTGGAGTTCTGGAGCCAGGCGCTGAGCTGGAGGCCACCTGGCAGTGTGAGCGACGCTGACAGCACCTTCGTGGAGATCAGACCCGGCACCCTCCAAGATTTAGGGCCCAATGCCTGGCACGGGCCCTTGTAGTGGGGGGGTCTTACCTCTGCGCTGCAGGCAAACTGGATTGAATGGCCAGTGGGGACAATGTTGTTGTAGGATGTAAGCCATGTGGTCATTCTGATGGCAAGGAACACTGTACATCCACTTGAAGCCCTGCTGCGGATTCTTCTATGCCTGCATGTGCCTGGATTTCCAACATTTTCGTCTTCGATTGTAATGGAAAGGCCTTGCCTGCAACACTCGCCGAGAAACACTGCATTCGTACGGGTCCTGGACTTGATGTGAGCAATGTGTTGTAGGGTGATGCAGATACCTTGCGTTACGCCAAGATGTTGCATTACGCTCTTCCAATCCGGATGCATCTGAGAGACTCTTCAGATGCTGGTTGTACCTAGTTAGAAGCCTAGGTTTACAACTCTTGGCTGCATCAAGTCAAATGATGACGTGGCTGGCCCCTCCCTACGTCCCCCTCCGCTCCGCCATGCTTCTCCTCCCGATCTGAACATACTGGTGCCCTGTCGTTCGTAATACTTATACAATCTGCGCATATCTGATTCCAGGGGAGGTCCAGCAGGCCTAGCATGCCTGCCTGCAAAGGGCCGGAGTTTGCTCCTCGACCGGAATGAATACCATCCGCGCTGCCCTTCGACACACCCAGCGCACAGCGGTTGTCGATACGACGGGATCTCACAGGTAGGACGAATACATGCCGGAAGCAGGAGGGTGCAGATGTGTTCATGGAATCCGGCATAGTGACGGCACCCAATAATTCCCCCCGACACCCCCATGCTGTCCTCCAGCTACAAGGATGTGCTGGCTGCAGCCATGTGTATGGGAAACTCCCTGCAGCAGACGCTGGGGCTCCCCCAGTACCAGTGCACAGATCCTCATCAGCCACGCGTGGCTATCATGTGTGACCCGGGACGAGACTATGTGGCCGCCACCTGGGCGACCTGGCTGCAAAGAGGCATCGCTGTTCCCCTGTGTCTGGCCCACCCCGACGAGTGCGTCGATGTGACACTTTGCTGCCCAGCGGGAAGGTGGCGCTGGGTCTCCAGGCCAGCCCCCCACCCCTCAAATCCGTGTCTGCGCTGACGCAGGCCCAACTACATGGTTGTGCATGGGATACTCCCACCTCTTGCCACCCCCCTCTCCATGCCCCCTCCGCAGGGAGCTGAAGTACGTCCTGAACGACTCGGGCGCCAGCGCAATCCTGGCCTCTCCAAGCCACTTTGAGCGCATGGCAGACCTGGGGAAGGCCCTGGGGACCACAGTCGTCCCCGTGGGTCGACCACTGACTCATGGGAGCAGGCCTCAGCAAGGGTCACAGGGCCTCAAACACCTGCTGGACAATGTTGCGCCGGAAGATAGTGCGCTCATGATTTACACCAGTGGTACCACTGGCAGGCCCAAAGGTGTGGGGTGCCGCGGGATGGGGTTGGCGGAGATCACCGGGTGACGGATCGCACCCTCTGAGGGCTCCTGCGCATGGCCTGAGTTTGTGTACTGCCTCAGCAAGTTGCACCAGACTCGGGTCATGCTTGTTCTCCCATGGATGGGGTCAGCTCTTGCTTGCAGGGGTGGCTCGTGCGTGCCTACCATGTGGAGACGCCCTCCCATGAGTGTCCTCTTCATGCGTGCAGCCTGATGGTCATGCAGCGGGCTTGCGCTCTCACCCCCCCCCCCCCCGGGCTTCGTCTGTCTTTCCCTCAGGGGTGGTGCACACCCATCGGGGTCTGCACGCTCAGACGAGCGCCCTCATCGATGCCTGGGGGTGGCAGGCCAAGGACCACATACTGCACACCCTCCCCCTGCACCACGTGCATGGCATCGTCGTTGCCATGCTGTGTGGCCTGCAGGCCGGGGCCGCAGTCGAGTTTATGCCGCGCTTCTCGCCATCACGAGTCTGGGAGCGTGTCCAGGTGCGTGTTGCGGTGGGTGCAGGCCTTTGGGCGGAAACCACACGCACATGCATCGAAGGAGCTCCGTGGCGAGAAGTCTGCGAGAGCGGTCTTTTGTCCCGATCTGCGCTGGGATGGGAGGGTGGCTGAGGCGAAGCGAGTTTGCCATGCGTGAGCAGTCATCTGGGGCGCATCCCCGGGGCTGTGAGGGCTCACTCAGTTATGGAGGGGGGCGGTCAGAGCTTGACCCGTGTGAAACAGGTCAGCCCTCCCTCAGCCCCTCAGAGGCGTGCCACGCTGTGCAGCTCTGGGAATCCTGAACAGCACTCCCATGTGCCTGCTTGCAGTCCAGCGCCGACCCGGTCAGCATCTTCATGGGGGTGCCCACCATGTATGCGTTCCTCATCAATGCCTACGAGGGCGCCCCGGCCACGAGCCAGGGGGGAATGCGCGAAGCAGCCCGGAGACTGCGCCTGTGGACCTGTGGGTCTGCGGCGTGCCCCAAGCCCACCCTCGCGGCCTGGGCAGAGATATCAGGTGGGGGCGCGCGCTGTGGTGGTGGCAGTTGAAGGCACACGAGCCAGGTGCCTCAGGCTCCATGCGCGGACCAATGTATTCATGGGCGCCTCGGACTCCACCACCACACCAGGAGCCACACCCTTGGAGCGGTACGGCATGACGGAGACGGGGATGATCCTGGGCAACCCCCTGTGCGGCGAGCGGCGAGTCGGGACGGTGGGCCTTCCCTTCCCCGCCCTTGGTGTCAGACTGGTCGACCAGGACAACAAAGGTGTGGGGGTGCCTTTGTGCGGAGGGCCGCTGGGCGCGCGCTCGCTGCTCACCGAGGGCATGGCAGCACCAGCGCGCTTTTGCTGCTGCCGGATGGCTCTGCGCTTGCTGCCTGGCTCGCGGAAACCCTGTGCACGGTGCATCGCTTGGGCTGGGGTTATGGGCGAGCATGTGCTCTGGGCGATCCACAGCGACCCACCGCCATTGCCTCGCCCCATACAGTTGGGAAGGAGGGCGAAATCCGCGTGAGGGGTGCGCAGCTGTTCAAGGAGTACTGGCGCAACCCTGAGGCCACCAGGGATGCCTACGATGATGAGGGCTACTTTCAAACTGGTGAGCTTGGAAGGGCGCCCAATGGACAAGGCTGTGCATATGCTGACTTGCCACAGAGCTGTCGGTGAGTAGGGTCGTCTCGAAAGCTCTGGGTCCACGCCTGCATGGCGCAGGCGACCAGGCGGTCGTGGAGGGCGACCCGCCGTACTACAGGATGCTGGGGCGAAGCAGCGTGGACATCATCAAGCATGGCGGGTATAAGGTGAGTCCGGCGCCGGAAGCTTCACGGAGCAGCAGGGTGGGATCCGGTGGTGCAGGCGGACGATGTGGCACTGAGGCCTACCACCAGGCTCTGCCCCTCCATGCCCTGTAATGCAGTGCCGCACGATTGCAGTTGCTGCTTCCCCACTCAGACGAGGCTGCTCGCTGTACATCAGCACAGGTCCCTCACCCGAGCAGTTTGCTGGCACATCTCAAACATCCCCCCAACCCCACTCTCACTCCTGACTCAACCCATGTGCAGATATCCGCTCTAGACATCGAGGGCAAGCTGCTGGCGCTCCCCGGCATCCAGGAGTGTGCCGTGCTGGGGCTGCCCGATGACACCTATGGCGAGGTCATCGCCGCAGTCCTTGCCCTGGACGGCGATGTCAAGGAGCTGACCCTGGCTGACCTGCGTGCCAGGGCAGCTCCCCACCTCCCCGCCTACCAGCTTCCCAGCCGGATGTGCATCCTGCCAGCCCTCCCTCGCAATGCTCTGGGCAAGGTGAATAAGAAGGCGCTGCGGGCACTGTGCTTTCCTGAACAGGTGAAGCAGTGATCAGGCCAGACATGGATTGGTAATGTTCTTACAATCTGAAGACCAAATCAGCACTCTTGGAAAATAAATCACCACACGTAAAGATAAGCTCAGCGGGCTTGGATAACAAGGGACGCGTCTGGAGTCTACCTGAGTTCTTGAAAAACAACCGCGTGGCTGTTGGGGATGGGTGTGCATGCTGTCCAGCAATGCAGGCCGGTGCGGAGCGCCAGCATGAAAAACAAGGGAACAGGGCAAATGCAACACAAAGGTTCGATGAGCATGTGTGAAGGACGGTGGAAAATGGGGGTACAGTATTGCGTACTCTGAGCATTTCACAAGTAGTCGATGCTGTTCAGTGAAGGCTTGACAGTGAGGCAGGTGTGCAGCTGAAATGGACAATTGGCTGCATGCTCGACTGATGAGGGGCATGGACCATAAGGAGGCCATGCTGGCTTGCTGACGGGTGTCGCCTCCATCCAGTGCCGTGTGGATGAAGGAATAAGGGTTGTTACCAGGAGTGGGGCGCCATCCTCTGAGCAGTGTCTCAGAACCAGGCTGCCCGGGCATGACGCTCATCGGGGGTTGGTGCCAGGCAGCTAAGCGCCATGCACCGCGCCCAGGAACCCGCCCTCGTCACGATATCTCTTGAGGGACCTCCTGGGCATGGGGCGGCCGGGGTGGGCCTGCACGTTGGGGAGCAGCACACCGAGCAGGGAGGGGAAGGGAATGCTTTAGCAAATGCTTGCCCATCCATCGCCACACCCTTGCAGCACCGCACAGGCTGACATGGGTCACCACGCCATCCCAACAGAGCCTGCAGAACGCCGGGTTTTGCTCAACACATCCGGGGCATGCCAGGCCCACCAGGCCTCACCATCGTGTGGCAGCACCCCGCGCAGGCGCTGCGCAGGGCGTGGACCTCGGCGCTCAGCTCCAGGTCCGCCTTGAGGAGCACCTGCACCACCCTCTGCAGCTGTTGGTACCCGCGCTCCATGACGCTCAAGCGCAGGGCCAGGCCGTCCAGGCACCAGCCGCTCTGCGCCTCGCAGCCCCGGGCGGCTGGGCGGCAGCCGCCCCCGCTCCCCGCCCCTGAGTCCACGGGCCCCTGCCCCCCCCCGCCCACGCTGGGTGGCCGGAGCGGGCAGGGGCCCGCCGAGGGCTGCACCGCACGGGGCGGCGACGCCACGGCCGCCGCCGAGGCCGAAGACGCGCTCTGCTGCGGCGCGGCCGGGGGTGGGATGGCAGAGCCGGGCGGCGGCGCCACGTCCAGGCCGGTGGATGCCAGCAGCTGCAGCAGCAGCCCCTGCACGGCGCCGAAGACCTCGGTGCCCCCCGCCCCGTCGTCGTGTGCGTCCGCCATCCGGCCTTGGGGGCCGGCCTCCTGGCCCACAAGGCGCCCGCCGTCGTCACGAGGCATCAGGCCCTGCGCAGCGATCTGCGCCCTGGCGCGGCGGATGAGGACTGGGGGCCGCGGGGAGGGGGGCCCCGCCGGGTCGAGGTGGGACGGCCAGGCGCGGCGGAGGGCCGAGCCCGTCGCCCTGGGCGTGCCCATGTGCCCGGCGCGCGGGGTGCTCTCCGGGCTGAGGCGGGGGTGGAGGGCCTTTGGGGGGCGCGGCGCCTCGGGGGGGGGCGGCGCCTCCGGGGGGTGCGGCGCGACGTCCCGCTCCAGATCCTTGTGCACGGCACTCCACGGCACCTGCCACGTGTGCATGTGGAGGTCGGTGAGTCTGTGTGATTGGACGCGTCCAGGCGGAGCTCAGACATCAGCCCATGCCCCGCCCCGCCACCCACGCCCTTCCGGGGCTCATCGTGGCAAGAACTCACCAGCGTCCACGCGTCCGCCTCGGCCTGGGGGTCTGCCCCCGCCTGCTGATGACACAGGGGGCTGCAGTCCAGGGACCCGCGCCCCGGCTGCTCCATGGCCTCCAGCAGGCCGGCGTCCCCGTCTTCCACCTCCGTCGGGCCCTGCCCCGGGCAGCCGTGATTCAGCTCCCGCAGCGCCCGGAGCGCTGCGGGAGGGGTGCCGTCGCTGCCGCCCCTTGTGGGAGGGAACGCGCCGTCTGCGTGGGCGAGGGGACCTGCACCTGTCAGTCTGGGCGGGCGATGCCGCGCCGGGGCCCTGACCCCACCGCCTCGGGGCGGCCGCACCCCCGCATTCTCAGCCACCAGACGCAGGATGCCCTCCCCGCGCGGGGCGCCCTCCAGAGTCACTCGCCTGGGAAGCAGGAGGCGGCCCAGGACCCCAGGCTCTGGAGTGCCTTCCCGGGCTCAAACACGCGCAGCGTGGTCCGCCACTTCTTTCGATGTGCCAGGCCTGGTGGTGGGGAGCGGAAGCGGCAGCGGGTGGGGGTGGGGTGGGGTGGGGGGTGGCGACGCATGCCCACGCTCAACATTAAAAACCCAGGACTGGGTGCCCGCCGCGTGCCCCCAAACCACGGCACACCGCCGCACCGCAATGCGACTCAAAGCCGTTGGGCGTGAAGATGCTCCCACCCCTGGAGTTGGGGGCCAGGGGCTTCTCGGCACAACATGAGGCAGCACACTGGACGAACAGACGGCTGGAACTGTAGCGATGGGTTGACTCGTCGCCGTAGTGCAGCAGGATACCTGGCAATTGAGTTTGGGGGGTTGAGGCTGGGCGTGGCTTTGCTTCGGCTCAGGAGGGGGGATCGCACTCCGCGTGTCGGCCGGTTCGTGGAGCCGGATGTTCCACCGTCCAAGATATCTTCCGTACCATGTTTGTCACCACAAACCACGGCCGCGAGCTTAAAATAGCCTATGCTCTCCAACCCATCCTTCATGACGCGTTCAGGGCTGGTGGAGCCGGGGCGCTGCCCGCCCGACACGAGGTGAAGGCGAGGGACCGGTGAGAGGGGTCCGACACTCCGGACAGCGCTCGACTGGTTTTAGGCTCGGAAATAGAAAAAGGGGGGAAATTAAAACGCAACGGACTATTTACAGGTGCACAGCGCCCGACTCGGAATTAATTCTACCGCAAACCACCGTGCGCGCGAGCACCGGAGGGACCTTCTTCCTTAACTTGGACCCGCCGAGAAAATTAACTGAGTCCCTCGTCCGCGGAGACCTTGTGTTGCTGCATTGTTTATTAAGGAACACAAGAGGGGAATGTGGTGTCTTTGGGCCAGTGGAGGTTTAAAGCCCGCAAGTTTCGTCGCCCGTGCTGGCAGGACCACGGAAACCAGGAATAGGTGGAGTGAGCGCACCTTCCGGTGGAAACCCTGCAGAGATGGACAAATGTTATTGGTCGTAAACCAGAATGCCCGTCATTGAGTCTCACTATGATAATGCTGATATGTTATGAAATTAAGGTCCTTGCGCCTGGTCGGGAAGGTGCACAGGTCCCTGCGGACGCAGTGTCGCACGCAGGCGCGGCAGGCAAGTCCCAAGGCTCTCGGGCAGTATTACACGTCCTTTTCCACCGTAGGGCGCGATAATGATACACTAGAGGTGAAAATGGGGACGTCTCGACATCACATCTGTGTACCTCTAGGGATCTGTTTTGCTTAGGCAAACAGATCCCTACCGGGCTTGCGCCGGTTGCACAGCTGCTTCCCGCAAGCGGGATCTGACTGGCGCAGTTGGTTGCCTCGATCGGCGAACCAGAGGGGGTGGGGGGGGGGAGGGCGGGAGAAGACGATACAGGGGGTCCACCAAAAGCTGTGGGACGAAGTGCATTCGCAAAAAAGCACTTGGTCAGCATGAGCATGTTGGCCGCTCCGTTCACGTCGCGGTTGACAACATGGACTTTGCAGCCTCTGTTCGTGCACCGCTTGGTGTCCCACACGTCCACCAGCTTCTCCACGCCGTTGCGGACCCGCACGTACTGGTGGGCGTGCAGGGTGGCGTGACAGGCGCAACACAGCTTTGATGACCTGTGTTCGTCCATCACCACCACCCTGCACACCCGCCGCAGGCGCCGCAAGAAGCGTATCCAGGGCCCAGGCGGAGTCCCCCGCATGATGCCCCCCCGGTCCTGGGCCGACCAGTTGCCCACGCCGACGATGGTAGTCATGCCGGGGGGGGCGCGGAACTGCTCTGTCAGCTGGTTGATGGCCCGCTCCCTGCCGACGTAGGCCTGGTGGCGCACCTTCCGAAACGGCTTCTGGTGCATGTGCCAGGCCAGGCCCTGTCGCAAGGTGGGGACGATCCCTCGGATCAGTCACTCTCCCGGGAAAAGTCCCTGTTCGAGGCGATGGGCACCGTTCACTTGGCAAAGCTTCACGAGACCCACTGTGAGCCATGATTCGTCGGAATCCAGGGTGTGGACCTTGTCTGTGTTCGGGTGCTGTCTCGTCGCGCTCGTCAGGTCTCTGCGAGACCCGGCTGGAGCACGTATACCCTTGATATGGGATTGACTTTGGGCAAGAATGTCCTTTCTCCAGGGAAGCAATATCCAATTGCAACCTTGACAGGTCTGGACGTTTCGCCATTCTGAGGAGCGCCATGCTGGAATCATATACTTGGCGGATTCCAACATTTGGGCCTGCTTGGCTGTCTCTCGCGGCCTGGAGGTAGGAATCGTCTCGCGCACCTGGGTCCTGCTCGCTGTGCAACCAAAGCCGTCGCACTGAAGCAAGCGCTCATCACAGCAGTATCGATGCAAGGATTCGGTGGTGTTCCCCCTGCATGGCCTTGGGAATCGGATAATGCATTCCTTGACCCTGGACTGTGATCGTGCAGGGCACACCTGTACACCCGCTGGAACCAGGAGGGATCTGTTTTGCTTAGAGAAACAGATCCCTACCGGGCTTGCGCCGGTTGCACAGCTGCTTCCCGCGGACGGGATCTGACTGGCGCAGTTGGTTGCCTCTAATGGCGAACCAGAGGGGGTGGGAGGAAAGGAAGGGGAAGCAAGGGGTCCACCAAAAGCTGTGGGACGAAGTGCATTCGCTAAAAAATCTTTGTCAGCATCAGCATGTTGGCCGCTCCGTTCACGTCGCGGTTGACAACATGGACTTTGCAGCCTCTGTTCGTGCACCGCTTGGTGTCCCACACGTCCACCAGCTTCTCCACGCCGTTGCGGACCCGCACGTACTGGTGGGCGTGCAGGGTGGCGTGACAGGCGCAGCACAGTTTGGAAGTCCTGTGCTCGTCAACCACCACCACCCTGCACACCCGCCGCAGGCGCCGCAAGAAGCGTATCCAGGGCCCAGGCGGAGTCCCCCGCATGATGCCCCCCCGGTCCTGGGCCGACCAGTTGCCCACGCCGACGATGGTAGTCATGCCGGGGGGGGCGCGGAACTGCTCTGTCAGCTGGTTGATGGCCCGCTCCCTGCCGACGTAGGCCTGGTGGCGCACCTTCCGAAACGGCTTCTGGTGCATGTGCCAGGCCAGGCCCTGTCGCAAGGTGGGGACGATCCCTCGGATCAGTCACTCTCCCGGGAAAAGTCCCTGTTCGAGGCGATGGGCACCGTTCACTTGGCAAAGCTTCACGAGACCCACTGTGAGCCATGATTCGTCGGAATCCAGGGTGTGGACCTTGTCTGTGTTCGGGTGCTGTCTCGTCGCGCTCGTCAGGTCTCTGCGAGACCCGGCTGGAGCACGTATACCCTTGATATGGGATTGACTTTGGGCAAGAATGTCCTTTCTCCAGGGAAGCAATATCCAATTGCAACCTTGACAGGTCTGGACGTTTCGCCATTCTGACTGAAGCCTGCTACCAGACAAGCTGAGATATAACCTTCGGACCACCCACCACATCTC